CTACGTAAATTAATAAATATAATTTAATAAATTTCACAAAATGCTAAACATAAATATAATATTAATAAATTTAAGAAAATGGAAAAATTTGGTTTGAATTAATAAGGTTAGAATAAATTAAAATTAACAAATATCAATTTACAGATTTAACAAAATGCAAAAAAATATAATAATAAATTCAATAAAATTAAACTAACAAAATACTAAAAATAAATTCAACAATAATAAATAAATGAATTAATTTAACAACAAGGTATCTCCCAGTCGATCACTGCCGGCCAGCATAAAGCCCGCACTAATTGCAATTTCTGCTTTGTGCTGCGATTAAAAACAGAGTTTCATTAACGTGCCGCCTGCAATCGAGCCGTTTGATGAATCAAAGCATAATTCTGTGCGCTGTGTTCGAATGCTCGAGTGTTTGAATGAGCTGTGAATGGCTGCGAGTGACAAATGGTGAATTGAAATAATTTTGCTCTCGTTGCAGATGTGAGAACGTGATGACCTGCCCTATAAGGCCGATTGGATCTGGCAACGAGCACTGCCCCTACGATTGGTTGGCCGTTTATGATGGCCGCGATGAGCACTCGCCGCTGATAGGCAAATTCTGCGGCCTGGGCAAGTTTCCATTCAGCATTATTGGTAAGCACAATGCCGGCACTGCCGATGGCTCCGTAGCTAACCAGAGTTGCGATTCCCAACCGCAGGCACCTCACAATACATGTACGTGGAGTTTGTTACGTCGCCGGCGGGGCCGCTGCTCAATACGGGCTTTCATTTCAATGTTGGCAACTGGCCAGGGCATGTGGAGACGGCGGGCATTAAGCACGGCGTCTGCGACTGGCTGCTCAGCTCCGATTCGCTGAAGGACAGCAGCGCCAGCGAGGGCATATTCCTGAGCATCGCCCACTGGTATCCACCCAACACCTCCTGCAGCTATCACATCAAAGGCCATCCCGGCGAAATTGTGCGACTCTACTTTCCCAGGTGAGCATCATATGACGCATACCTGATTGTTAACTGTTGCATCAGCTCTAATTCTGGGGTGGGTTAGAGCATATAAATAGGTACAATTTGAGCGCGATAATATTACTGATGATACTAAGGTAATAATAGGTGAGCTGCGGCCTTTAAAGTGGCTCTAAAATGGGTTTGGTTTATTTATATTTCTATTAAAAATTGTGGCAACATATTAAAAAATCCAAAGAAATTCACCTTTTGCTTAAAATATTAAGCATATTAATATCTGTTCACATGAATCAAGCATATACCTTTCCTTAAGTCGAGGATGATAAGCTGCAAAAAAAAAAAATTCTTTAAATAATTTACAAAATACCAAAATTACATATATATATTATATGAGTATAATTATAAATTATTGCATAAATTTGGAGTGGCGTATTGTATATATTTTTATAGAGGCTCTGTAAAGTAAAAGTTTTTTTTTGTTTCTTTTTTAAGGGTTAATTAGAAGAGACTATAAATTATTAATTTTATAATTTTATAAACAGCATTCAGTTTTTTTCTTTAATTTTACATATACATATATATGGTATAATAATAGGGTACAGGTAATTTTTTTTTTTTTTTATTTATAAATAACAAATGAAGCCCGCTTCAGTCACTGTCATAAAAATAATAATATCAATGAAGTTGATATTACAAAAAAATATTAAGATAAATCTGTATGATTAAAAATAGCTCAAATGACATTTTTAATAAATTTATTTTTTTATTTATTGATTTATTTTTTATTTA